TGAGTCAATAAACTCGCTGATATGGACTTTTGCTACAATGCATACCCATTCCGGAGGCCAGAACTGCTCGAATAGAAAACAGAGACGCCGAAAACAGTTTTTTTCGAAGTCAAGCGAGGTCCAATGTATGCTGCAGGAATAGCGGATTGAATAAATGTAATTTTAAAATATAATTTTATGGCTTAGACTACAAAAGATGTTACTTGAAAATCTAAACGCGTTTTTCTCAAAACTGTTTTCTAGAATCTGATACACACGATTTCTCAGGTTCTGCCAAACTGATTTACTTGAAATTTTAAGAGAGTCTTCTTTAGGAACTTGTCTATGTCCGGAACTACGGCCATCCCCAAATTTTCACTTTTACTATTTTTAAAAAATCGAAGAATGTTCAAAAAAGTGAAACAAAAATGATATTTTTTTAGACAGTCGCCATTTTGTAAAAAAATATTTCTGAAACTTTTCCGTAGTTCCAGACATGGCGACATTATTGTAAATTGCTAATCTTTTCATTTTTTGATTTCAAATTTCTAGGAGAGTTAAAATTGTGGGTATGATCACACTCTAAATTTTTGAGACGCCCAATCCATCAGCTGATAACTAACAGAATTTTAAATTATTTTTACTTTTTACATTTTTTTTATGCTTCTAATGGGAATAAATAATGTATAAAAAATTGATAATAAAAATATTGCCTGCTTTTTTATAGCACTTCTAAAATGACCTAAAATTCATGTCTCTAGACCAGAATACCCTCTTGAGTCAGTTAATTACCAAAATTAGCAGACATCTGGTTTCCGGACATGGTAAATTTTCTGTCCAGACGTTCCTTCGCGTGGAGGTAAGTCATCGCACACCCCAGTCTTCGTTATATAGTAATAAAGTTTTATGAAGTTTATGCGAAGCACACAGGATTATCTGATAATCAGGGACTGTATTGGTAACTTTACAATTCAAACACATTTTCGATGTCAAGGTCAACGGACGATTTCCTTTTACATTATGGTGTACATTTTTGGCGAATCCAATAAAATTAGTAAACAATTAGTTTGCAAGAAATGTTGGTTTATAGGTAAACAAAGACGCGAAGATAATGCCTGGGTATTGAGATATCCTTCATTTGACCTCCTTTTGGAATTGCGGCGTAAAATATTTTCCCAATAGGTGGTAAATATTTATGAAATTCAATTTTAAAAATATGACAGCTGACTTCAGGCTACCTTGACACGACTGTATGTCATACTCGACCACTTCCCAGTGTTTACCTCACACCAACTTTTCTCTACTTTTGTGTCAGTCTCTTTCACCTCCGTGAATCTCCCTTCTGTCCCTCCCCCCCCCCTCCCTTTTATTAGACATTTTGCAAGTTTAATGTTCTTCTTCCTTATGCCCCCTATGTAACCTATAGGAGGAAGTGGAGAAGACCCACCTGATTCGGTGTCCAGCTCTAAAGACAACAGCAGAAAGCCAGAGATACTGGGAAGCAAGAAGAAAGCTAATGAATTGCTATTAATTAACTGCTATGAATGTACCCGCCCCCCTCCCATGGGGGAAGCTGAAGTCAAAGTTTAAGGGCCTGCCATTTGAAATAAATAATAAATAAATGTTCTTCTTCCTCTATGAAGCAAGGAGTCAAGTAAAGCCAGCCATTTAATACAAGTGATTAAATGTTCAAAAGACTTGTTTAGTTTGTATGGTTCGCCTGGTCACTTCATGACTTCACTTTTGTCCAAAGGTTGATAATGCTGAATGACCTTAGATAACAATTTATTTATTTCATATGAATGATGCGGCGGCTGCGACGTCGGTGGTGGTGCCTGCCTGCCTGGCAACGGGGGGGGGGCGAACTAATGACGTTGAGTGAAGGGGTGTGTCATAGACTTACCTCCACGTGGCAATTGACTTCTGACTTCAAACTACCCTCGCCCCACTGTGAGTCATATTTGACTACTTCCACAGTACTCACCTCTCCTTTTATCCACCTTTGTGTCTGCCTCTTATATTTTTGATGCACTACGTGGAGGTAAGTCTATCGCACAACCCGCCTTGGATAACATCAAAGAGCTCTCAAGTCCTTAAACTAGAAAAATTAGATTGTCTTTTTACCAGAACAACTTAAAGCTATTTTTAAATTTGGCCTTTTAATTTAATTACAGCATTAACATACTTCTTTATCGCAATGCAGAAGCCCTCATTTCAAATATCGCATATTAAACAATAGCTTTTGTTTAGTCATCGATCTTTAGAACTTTAACTAATGCAATGCCGTCCTATCGAATTAACCGCCATAATAACCACTTTCACACTTAAACTCTCGACTGTTCCTAGTTTCTTTAATGCTACTGGGCACACATTTAGTGAGAAAGCAAGATTTTTGGAAATTAGTGCCAAGTTGAACAGCAGTTTCAGTACAGCAGTGCTGAAATTTTATCTTTGCTCATTCACATTTATCTTTACACCGTAGTCCTACTCTGTTTTTTGCCGAATGAAATAATTCTGCTTCCAAGTCAACCTGGGGAATTGGAGTTCGACTAGTCAACAAGAACTCAAATTAAACTCATTTGCTTTTTTGTCTCAATTAAACTTTCTAGTACTTTGTTCTGTTCTTTTTTCTACTATTCTCGCTTTATATTAGATTTAAAATCCAACTGAGAAGGGCACTAACCCCAAGAAATCCTCCTATAAGCACCACAATTATTAATATATTTTTTATCTCACACTGAATATGCTTTATTTTTTCGTAGCACAAGTAAGGAGAAATCATTGGCAGAGATGAGAGTCAAATTTCTTCAATAAGCCTCCCACCTTCGTAGCGGTATTCTAGGGACTCTTTTCCTTGGTGTACATAATCACCTCCTTCGAGTCGCTCCAGGAAATCAATCTAAATTAAGGAAGAACAAGAAGTATTCCATCCACAATTTAAATTGCCATGAGCAAAGATTAGACGTTTTGTGTTTTGGTTTGTTTGTTTGTTTATTTGTTTTGAATAACGCGGTTATTAAACTATCGATTTGTTGGCGCTGTTTTAGAGACAAGCAGAACATTCTATTTTTGTTGCTGGGTGCAATTTTTACACACATACATATATGAATGTATTTTTTTCCGTATTCACAAATTCAACTTATTAGTGAAAGAAATAAGTAGTCGAGGGTGAGTTTGGTAGAATTGTGTTACCAATAGAGGGGCGGATAAGAGGGTGTAAGAGAAGCGGGTTTTAGTGGCAGGGTAAAATTATTCTGTGCCGGCGCTTATATAAGTCTCACAATGACGGATTGATTAGGAGGGTATGGGGAGGGGGTGAGGAGGTTGAGATGACTCAAAGCCAGGCGAAAGGGAACAAGCTGTGAGGTCTAAATCGAAACCCAATCCATGGCTTACGAACGCTCCTCACCAGCCTCCTCGACTTCATCAAATTCTTTGACATCAGTGGCGTATCGTACCTACAGGGGGATAAAAAAAGATATGTTGAAATCGTTGGTTCACTTGCAATAGTCTCTAGTGGGCTCCCCTAATCTAAAATTGCTCTAAATAGTAACAATTGATTAGCGTTAGAATAAAATCAAGATCACGAACCACTAACAGTAGGAAGGTGGTTAGCAGATTCTAGATGTTGTGAAAATACGCTCACTGAAGAATTGAAGAAATATACTCAAATTGGGATATCGTGCCATTATTATGAACCCAAATCAGAAATTCATATCTAAGGTGACAAAAAGCGCAAAACCCAAATTCAAAGACTAAACTTGATGAGATCTTTTAGATGCCTTCAGATCCGTGCAGGTGGATCTGTGGACAAAACAACATCCCAATGTTATTTCTCATGAAATACCCGAAAGCACGGAGGATGTAGATGAAGAGTTATCCAGTGAATTCGGCAGAATGCTTTATTTGAAGAGACAAATAAAAAAGGATTTTGAAAGACTAAATCCACTAATATCCACTCAAACAGGCGTTGATTATCAAATCTGCCTTAATTAAAACGACTGCCAATTGAAGGAAATAATATTGAATACAACATCACAATTAGACAAAAATTCTTGCATTATGTATATAGGGCGTCCCAAAAAATGTATACACCCTGAAACTAATTGTAATTGCAGCTTTGAATCTGAATTATATTATTTCAAAAGCGTAAAAGATACTTTACAAGTATAATTTTACTATTTCTCACTGCTTATTCTCAAATTGACGTCTATTTTGATCGACACACTGCCAACAACGCTAAACAATGGAATCGCACACATCATGAAATGATTTCCATGGGATTTGGACGCGTTCCCGCTCAATGGTATCTCTTAATTCAGTGGCTGCTGAAGGCTTCATTGTGTATACTTGGTCTTTTAATTATCCCCATAAGAAAAAAAGCTAGTGGTATGAGGTCTGGGGAACGGGGAGGGGAGATATTCAACAAAACCCCTTCGTCTAATCCACCTAGTAAGTGAGACCTCATCAGGCAAAGACCAAACAGCGCGATGGTAATGTGGGAGTGAGCCATCTTCAACTCCAAAGTCTTCTCTCTAGTGCTTGACACAGCAAACTGCAGCAGAAAGTTCAAGTATATCGGAACCGGTTATAATAGACTTAATTTAAGTGTGCATACATTTTTGGGACACCCAGTTTATAAATTGTCATTTTTTTTTTATCAACCCTCGAATGACAATAACAGCAATTTTTCGCTCAAAGGAAAACATCCAAACAAGGAAATCGTACTAAAATATTAGTATTGAAGAAAGGAGAGAACAAATAAACGGAGAACATAAATTGGAAATCAGAGTAGTTGAGACCGGCTCCATTTTGTACTTAAAAGTGATTGTTCACCTAGAAATAATGTGCTGTTCAACTACCAGAAACCAACTTCACTCAGTTAAATTAATTACCCTAGGTATAAATAAACCGCGTCAAAAATGGCAAAGTTGATGAAACTATTTCAATAAATAAGTCTCTATAAATGTTTAAAAGTGCTTAAAGACACGAATTAAGCTAACTGCTTGATTTGTGTATGGTAAGATTTTAGACAGCAAAATCAACGTCCATCATACTTCAAAGTGAAAAGATGCACAGGTCTTCTTCCCATTGGAAGAAACTGAAATGTCGACATAAGTTCAATACTCAACAATTCTGCCTCAACTTACCAAGAGAGTCAGACACTGAGAGCAGGAATTATATTAATTACAATTTGCAGGCGTCATGGCTTCCCGAATTAACCATTGGCATAGCAACAAAGAAAACAATTGAAACCAATTCGCAGAATTTCGAAATTCTAATTTGTTACGCTTGCTGCAAGACAATACGCACACGCACACACACACACATTGCAAGATTGATTAAAAGAAAGTGCTACCAACTGCAAAAAAAACAAAGGCGTTAAAGAGAAGTACATCCAAGCATATCTTATTAACCATGATTAAGGAACAGTCGAATGATTGAATGATATTGATATTCAAAAGATGGAAGCAGAAAATGTAGATATTCAAGCCAAAGGTGCGCGCTTTCACATCAAGTAATAAGCACACTTCTAAACGGGAACACATTTGTCTCAGGAGGATGAATCACTCTTTGCTCATAGGTTTCTTCACCTACGTCAAGTCACTATTTCTTCACTCCAATATCGCATAGATAAAATTTGCTTAAACAATTTACACCACAAGCACTTCTTTTAAAACATCGATAACGCAGCAAAGTTAGGCCCCAACCGAGCGAAATAGTGGCAATAAGCGCAAGTTGAGAGCACAACATTAAAATCCGATTTGCATGACGCATCGGTAAATGATCTTTCGATTGTCAAGACTACCTTCTTCCCGTATTACCGTTGCTGCAATATTTTGATCAGTTGATCATATTCATTTAAAGCTATGATCGACAGCAATTAAATACTATCTTCAAACGTACACATTCGAGAGAATAGCTAAATACCCAATATTCAGTTGCCAGAGAAACAATATTATATATATATATATATATATATATATATATGGTCTAAATAAGAAAAAAAGTGTCCTCACAGCATTCCATTAAGCCTGATTTACCATTTAAGTAGTATGAAGCATATTTAGAGATAGAAAAAAACGATATTTGGTGGACCAACCAAACGCATGATTGATTCAATTGCCTTTTGCTTCCCAATCACAGTGAGAAGTGCAGGCTTTTAAAGGGCGCCATGACAACGCCGCTTTAGTCTCACACGTATGAATAAAGATAAGTTAGGTGTATTTTAACGTAGGAATAAACATCTGTGCATACAAACTAGAATGCAAAGAAAAGAGAAGCATTAGCGCCTTGTTGCATGCTTGGGACACACACACACACTAACAAGTATGATTTGTAATATGTTGCCCCCCCCCCCTCCGCCCCCACTGTGCCCACACACGCGATTACCTGACATGTTGACATTGAATGTCAGTGCAATATAACGTGCCACCGCAATCGGCATTAAGATAACAATCTGCTTGAAGTTTTGAACAAACAAAGGAGTAGGAATAAACAAAACGGGGCTAAAAGAGAGTAGAAGCTCACTGTAAAAATTGCAACAGCGGCACCAATAATGAAACCGACCAAAACATCGTGGGGATGATGCTTATTATCCGTGATTCGTGTCAGCCCAACGTAGAATGCAGCCGTGATTCCGCATACTTGGATGAAAGCTTGAAGTGCTGATCCAACGGCAATATCTGGCATCCGATAGTGGATATATACCTAAAAGTCAACCGGAATGTGATTCAAACATGCCATATTGAGACGGGGGAGGGGAGGGTGACATGAATGAACTTATGACATTTGAAAAGATGTCATCACATAGTATTAAAATAATTTGAATATAAATAAATCTAATTTTTATCAGAAATAAGTGAATTTGGAAGATTTGATACTAACCAAGCAAAGAGTGAATCGAATTCAGCCTTTTTAAGTTAAAATGTAAACAATAATATATTGGATAATAAGTGAACTGAGGTTTGCTTGAGTATGAAAAATAGTTAGATAAAGAATAACCAAATAAATCATTATGAACACGCAAAAAAGGTACATCAACAACATGAACGGAGAAAACTTTTTACAAAACCTGAAATTTACTGACATTGAGTGATGACCTTTTCTGCTAATTACTATAAAGCCAATCACTGGAAGCCAACAATTCCCGATTGAGATTGGTGCAAATAAAGATTTAACGAGCGAAAGAGCATGTCTTCCACTCCATAACAGAAACATTTATGGGCATTTTAATGACTATTAAATGAATAGTTACGTCGAAATTCAGTGCCAGGAAAATTAGCGCTAAATAGAAACTGGTGATAGAGTGATGATCCCTGAACAACACACATAAATGCTCAATAAGGCTAAGTGATAAAGCACCACTTGTCGAAATGTCATCCAGAATGCAAAAAAAACATCGAGAGCGATGCCATCTTTGCGACAACTTCGAAAGATGAAAATATGCAAATCTGAAGGAAAAATTTGAAGGGGCACAGCAAAAGGAACATGCGAAAAAATATTTTTCACCACTTCAAGGTGCTCGTTATAGGAAGAAGGGGTTTGAGGAGGGTAAAGGTAATCTGAACTAACTCCCAATGAGATACCCACATTTCACATGCTCACCCTAGAACATAAATAATGTGTGCAGGTGATCATCAAAACCGCAGGATGCGTACCGAGAAGCACTGATTAAGCAGACGTCCACATTGGAAGCTTGCCTGGATATAATTTCACAAGTAAAAGAACAATCTACACTAACCTTGAGAACGCAGCGTCTTTCTCGTGGAAAAAAAGAATTAAAATCCATGAAAATCCGACTATATTTTAAGAAATTTAAGCCCCGAATTCATACTAACGCTTAAATAGGAAATTCGATCACCGTGAACATTCTCGAATTTCTCCAATTTGGCAATTCGAGACACCAGAAAAAAAGCGTGGTAGAATACAAATAGTTGGGCAGAATGAGACACGTCTCTAGTAAAAGACAAGTTGATAGGTGATGTAGCTTAATTTTGTGCGTCAACAAAACAGTAGTAGATGCCAACGGTACCTAACCTGAGTGGACACTGGACACTCTAGAGCCGCTATGATGGTAAATTCACATCTTACCTTCCCTATTGTTGATAAGTATTAGCTAACAAATAAAGCCATCTATAAATGTCAGCGAATGCACCGAATAGTTGCCACAAATGCATCGATGTTTTTACTAGATCACCTGAATGAATTACGCTCCGCATCCCTCCTCACCACCACCCCCCACCCTCCTCGACCCCTCCCGCCCAAACCCGAATGTGCCCAAGGCGCCATTGCCTTGTGATGACTCAGACAGTTTTCCGATTATGCGCATGGAGCTTGCACCGTCCCCACTAATCTCATTTTTTTTTGATTTTATGAAGGTTAGCCATTATTATGACTCATGATTTCTTCGGTGGAGGGTGGGGGGGGGGGGGGGGGGGGGGGGGGGGTTATCAAAACACTAGGAAGTCGAGTGCATGCAACATGTTTTTTCATTCAACTTAACAAATGCTAATGGACAAGCAAACATTGAAGTCCACACATTCAATTGCACTTGAATCTAAACGTAGACCGTCTAGCCTTAAAAATGCTCTCAAAACAGACCCTTCACAATCCTAAGCGCAATCGAATTTCAAGTGAACAAGCACACTAACTTGTCATCTTAAAATGGGCGGCAACCCATTGTCGTTTCATTTCAGTACTGAGAAAAGGCTTCCAACGGGCATAGAATTTGGGTGGTAGAGAAATGAAAGACGTTTCTGCACTAACCTATTTATAAATAACGAGAGGGGGGATTAAGCGAGTTAAAATGAAATTGGCGACATGAAACACCTGTGAGCACTCACATAATGCACAAACTTAAATGTGCCTTAGCTTAAATCACTGGAGCCCACATTATAGAAACAATTATTGATTTTGTTTTTCAGTTCTTGATTTATGCACCAACAGTAATAGGCTACAGAATACCACAATTTACTGATGAATCTACAGGTTGGTGGAAGCCAAACCGCTTAACATTCTACATTAAGAATGACTTTTCAATCAGCCTGCATAGACAAAAACTTTATAACTTTTCTTATGAGCGAGTTATGCTATCGTTGTAAAGCCCTTAATTATAATATTGACAAATGAATCAAGATGCCAATTTGTTCAATTAAACCTACTTGCCAATAAGCCCTGAATATCGTAATCATGAGCTCACCGAAAGAAAAAACACTTGTAAAAAATGAAGGAAGTTTTAAGACAACCGTAAAGTGAATACTACCACGTAATGCATCAAGTATTGTCAAATGAATAATTTAAATGTACTGATATTCAAATCCTCAGTTCATGCCTGTCTAGACTACTTGGGATGTTTAAATCTCATGATATGACAAAAAAACGCTTAGAAAAAATTGCCTCAGGAATGCGATGGATAATGAAATCAAAAGGATAAAAAAAGTTCATTTAAAGGCGAAAAAGTTGAGAATCAAACGTTGAAATGATGAGAACAAATATTTTATACAAATATGAATGAGTATTATGATGAAGAGTGAGCATTCATTTATAATGGGTAAAGGAGGGGGGGGGGGGGGGGGTGTAAACTTCAAGACAGAAATGATTGTGGTGATCAATGTCATCCCAGTTGCCCTAACAGCTACGCTCCAACCAAACACTACCAAAAAGACATCCCAAGGACTAAAGTTTTAAGGACGAAGCGACCATAAACTCATTCGATGCGGCGCATAAATCATTATTCTCAGACTTGAATCTTCTTTTTTACCGATCCTTCCTACTCAGTACATTGAAACTCTTTGGGCGAATAATTAGCCTTTTGTTCAAACGGAACAAGTATTCAGCATTGGTTTTGATATAAGCTTCCCTTTGATGTGTGGGAAAAAAGAATAAAATGGTGGATACGAAAGGAGACAAAAATGAAAAAAATTATCACTTGAATAAACAAGACAAAGGCTAGAGTGAAAAGCAATAAAATTATTGAGAATTGGCAACTACTACATCCATTTATTACAACGTTTCGATCATCCTAGGCTTTAAAGTTACGCGTGATTCGAAAAATATCAACTCCATATAAATTATAAACAATCGAGTTCATACCGCAATAAACATAGCAGGATACATTGAGTACGCACTATGACCGGAGGGAAATGACAACCTAAAAAAATAATAATAATAATTGTAAGAAAATATTTTACTTACCTCATTTCATTAATCCGTTTTTGATCAGAACCCAAACAGGTAAAATTAGTTACGTAGCCATAAGGTGATGTCGTTACCGGAGAGGGATTACAAACATCATGGAAATGCGGTCGAAGTTCTCCGGCTACAATTTTTCCAACATGAACGAAGGATGCTGTGACAGCATATCCAAAAAGTAAAAGGAAGAGGAATTTGTATAAACAAAAAGCAACCTATATATGGTATTATAATTACGAAAAAGAGATAACTTAATACCAGATAAACGCCATTGTATTTAGAAGAAAAGCCATAATTACGAGCTCTCAAAAGTTCAATAATAACAATCTGGATAAAATATTAAAAAGAAACATATAACTTACTATTAAAATGGCTAAAAGGGGGGCTACTGTAAGAAGATAAATACTTGGGACAGTAGAATCACGGTAGGGATATTTTAGTGACTGATCATCTGCAAAATAACCTCTTTCAAAAGGTGGCACTGCATATATACCAGCAGCCAAAATCACAACTAAAATTTATTTTCAAAAATAATTCGAACGTTCTTACACGGAATGATGCCAATAAAATCATACAAAAATCGTAACAGAAAATATTTCAACCCCGACATATCATCCGTCTTTCTGGTTTAACGTAAAGACCGCTTATATATCACGACCTTGTAAAATAGGTCAACAAAAATATTAAATTTTTTAAAATTTAAGCTATTTAAATTTATAATACGCTTTCAATGTATTTATTTGAAATAAATAACTTTTTTTAAGGATTTTTATTTAATATCTTTTTATTTTCTACATCATTGATATTGTGATTTAAAAATGATTATTACTAGTGAATGTAAAAGAATATTTTATCAGGTATATCAACCCTTCCGGTATTTACAAATTGTAATTCTTCAAGAATCATTTTTCTCATTCCGTAATTGAAATTTTCGCTGTTTAATGGGAATTCCGGGTAGTCCCATTATGAGTTTAATTATTCAAAATATATTTCTTGATTTTTTCCTCTTTATTTTAGTTAAATTCATTTAAGATTTGGGGTAAATATTTGTAAGGTTGAATTGTCATTTTCCAGAATCTCCTTAAACGAATTCCCCTTTATAGCGGATTGGCTACTTCTATGGCAACTAAAATCAATTTAGGTATTATGCATGCAGGGTTTGTCTCAAAAATGGTCATCATTTCGCTTAACAAATATAAATCGCATTTTCGGGGATGTAGCCGATTGCACGTCTGCACTTTCTAAAATTCTAATTTTGCATTAAACGTTTTGATAATCTTTGATATGCTAAACACTCCACTATTCCATCTCGATTGAGCTTATGAATCTTGCCAGTTTGACAAGTGCAACGAGGTTTAGCTGATTGACTAAAGTCAAGTTAAAATTTTCCCGAAAAGTGTGGTAGGCATTGTGACTGATTTTTGAAGGAATGTTTGGGTGGGGTAATCCATGAAATCAATTGGCATCTATAGAACATGTATGTGCAGGATACCATGCCTTGAATTTCCAATTGAAACGTCAAAGCCAATTTCGGTAACAGTAATAATAAAAGACAAGCCTTTGAACCATGAAGAAATCGATGGGTGTTGCAGCGATTTAGTCAAGTTCCGTCTACGTATGGGACATCATTAGTGAATTGCAGGATAAAGTCGGAATGAAGAGCTTTTCTTGGCGAAAAGTTGTTTGCAGTTATCCGGCAAGCAGAAATTAGTGGTTTGTAACCAGTGAAGATAGTGAATTAGTGTCCTGGCAAGATAAGTCGAAAGTGTTTGACTGTTTGAGTAAACAGCTATCAAATTTCCTGTATCATTTCAAGGAGGGTAACGGCTTTCTCGACAGTAATGATGATTTTTAAACTTACACATTAACAATCCGTCAAAGGACAGCCTCGACTGTCACTTGAACCATTCGTTTTTGGAATATTTATGGTTGCATTTGAAGAATCGAGACGACTTGGTGTCATTATATTAATAACTGTTCTTTCACGTCATTAATTTCTAATTTGACTTTGGGTGCCATACTAAAACTCTTTGATTAGCATAAAGTATATCGGCGAGAGAGTGCAGGGTTTGAGGGTATTTTAGAAAGATACTTCCAAGATAGCTCATCATTGGCGAGGAATGGGGAATAATTTTTATTGGTTGAGCATCAGTGTAATCTGTAACAGACTAGGCTTTCTCCAGTACGAAGGAAGGGGAGGGAGACCGAATACCATTGGTATCCACGTGGTAGCTAAGAATATCGATTTCAGCCTGACCAAAATAGTTAATTCTAGGGGTTAACAGTGGTCCCACATTGCGTCAGATGCTCAAATATTTACAAGAGAAGCAGGTTGTGCTCCAAAGGGTTTGACTTCATTATTGAGAATGCAATTAATACAATCACAGACAAAATTTAAAGCACGGTCTACTTGGACCATAAAATGTTAAAATATCTCCACCTCGATTTTTGAAGTCAAATAGACCGTAATGTCTGATTAAAGTCAACTTTACGATACCTTCCACATTGTCATCAGTATCCTGTAGAAAACCAGCACAAAATTTAGTTAGGTGGAAAGGGTTTATATCTAATTACCTAAAGCGAAAAATCGTGCATATGATGAATTGAATAACAATCTTTGGCATGGTCTACAATTACTGTTTTTCTTCGAGAATACATGACTATCATACGATTCTTAGAAACGATATAGGTTTAAATTCTATTTTTCACAGGAATATTGCTGTGATTTGACGTATACAGGCTGCTTATTCGTAGTAACATTTATTTATTTACATCAAATTGCAGGCGTTTTGATAGTTATCATTAGCCCTTTAGTGGACCTCAGGCTCCACAGAGGGGAAGGAACATCAGAGTGAAAAAAAGTCGAGAGGGGGAGGGGAACAGAAGAGTGATTCAAAGATGTAAAAGAGACAGACATAAAGGTATAAAAACGGTGAGGAGAGTAACGTGGAAATAATCAAATATGACATACAGTGGGGTCATAGTAATTAGAAGTCAGAAGTCGACTGCCGAATAATAGACTTTTTTACCGTATGAGTATACGTTGCCCAAGGTGGCACCACGTGGAGGTAAGTCTAACGCACACACTTTTTCGTAGTAACATAATGCCACATCTCATGTATGAGTTGCTCATTTTCAGACAGAAAGCGAATGGCATCTGATAAGTTAGGTAGGATACTGGGGAAAGAATTTTTGACGCCTAGGCCAACCAGACTCTAGGACACCATCAGCGCAGAAAATATGGAAAAAGGTAAGATTATCTATCAAATAGCCCCCCTCCCCTTGAGGTTGGTGAGTGGGTAGGAAACTCCAGGTGAAGTTCTAAACATAAGTTAATGTATTTGAGACCCAAAATTGCGTAATTTATCGCACATGATACTAAGTTGCCATAATTTGGGAAAACCTTAATAATTTAGTTAATTTTCGCAACTTCTCTAATTTCTAGGGTAGAAGAGACACTATATTTTGTGAAATTAGAGCTATTTTTTTTTCAAAAAAACGCCAGGAGCAGGGAATGTGACTGTGATCATCATGGAAAGTGCAAAATTGTTTGCTTATCAACAAGCAATCATAGTGGAAGTTGGTAGAGAGTTTGACGGGCTGATTTGGCTAAAGAAGCCAATTAATAAAGCTATGATGATCTTCGGATTGGATAGTCACTTGGTGAACGATCAATGGGCATATATATATTCTGCAAGGCCGGTGTTGAGAAAGCCAAAAAAAATCTTTCAAGTCAAAGCAGTTTATACCAGTTTGAAGTATTTGTCTATTGATAGCCTGCAAGTTCCTTTTATTTATCGCTTAGGAAACGAATATTTGCATCTCCATTGTTTTATTTTTGATATTATCGCTATGCTGATGATTTGCCTGCAAACATAGGCAAGAATTCTTTTTACGTCACCAGTGACCGAATCACACTAAAGTAATTGCAAAAAATGTATAAATTTGAAAAGAAAATAAAAATTTGCTTTTAAGGTTTTAACTATAAGAATGTCGAACAAAACAAAAATCATTTTGTTCAAATATGTAAAAGTATCTATATATTTGTTTGAATGCTAAATTTTCCCACTTTTACTTAAAAAAAGTTGAATTACTTTAATCAGCCAAATGCTTAGTCAGGACACTCACTTCATTTTTTGAACAAAAAAGGAACTAATTGTGCCTTAAATGCTTCTCCCTTTGTAGAAAAGCATATTTCCGACCAGATTTAGCATTCACTAAAATAAAAACGCTAGCAAAAAATACCATAAAACTCTTATCTTATTGCAAAGATAATACGAGTGGCTTCTTCAACGTTAACATAAAAGAAGATATCAAATTATTGATTTTTCCTTTAATCAATGCAAATACACAATAAAGAACACATAAATGGGAGGCGATTTTAGGGAATTACCTTTATTGGCAATTTTGCTTCGGTCTGTTAATGTCATTCTGACCGGTGAAGTTGCATAAAAATAAATCCTGATGCAAAAGGTAAATAGGAGCAAAAGAAGAGAATGTCACAAGGTAATCCAAAGCGTAAACATTTTTGAGGCACAAATTAAGTTAAGCCAAGGTGGTGTAAACCCCAAGAGGATTACACTGGGTTCTTCAGAGAAAGGTAGTCTTATATTATAACATTGACGACAGAGAAAGTTTGCTTTTATCAAGAAAGTGTTTTATTTTATTGGAAAGCTCAACAACAGAATAAAAACACACTGATTGTCATTATTACTTAATTGAAGTTTTTGAATAGTGAAAATTGTCTGGACACAGGAAATAGAAACCATGGTGTTTCAAATGCTAATAAACCATGGATCATTTGTAAAGATTCAATTAAGGAGTAACATAATTTGTTATCGAAAGACATTCCAATTATTCAATTTTTTAATGAAATTTGTATATCGATTTCTAATAACTAGCAGTTTAGAAGCCCTGTTTTCTAAGCATCCAGTCGAATGAATGGCAAAAAATGATGTAATTACACGGTTGGTGACGGATGTTTAACTCAACCGCTTTCAAAGCATGAAAATAAGCATGAGTGGCGGATTGCTGCAATAATAAGACTTGACCTATGCTCAATTATATCTATGGCAAGATCAGCTGGTTTTTAAGGGCTATAGAGGATGTAGGACAAGTTGATTCGGTAAGTGTATTACAGGCAGGGACTAAGTCATTAAAAGCAATGGAGGAGTTGTTAAACTAAGCATGGACTGTTGATTGGCTGTAGGCTGGGTGATCTCCGCGCTCACGGTCGTAGAGCCACATCTCGAGTTTGTCTGAGCGCTTGAGATACCTTCTTTCATTGATGACAATGCACTTGCCATGATAATGTATTTGAAGCTTTCGCCAAAGTTACATTAGGCAACCATTTAGTTAATTCTCAGTCAAATAGCTAACTCAAAAGAGAAGCTTTCACTTCTTTGGAACAAATTTAAGATATACCATAACATATTTTAAAACTTCAATGTTAGTCCCTAATCGTAATGCCCTCCTAAAAAGAAGGTTCGAAGGCTTATTTAAGGTTGAATAACCAGTCAATTCTTGCCGAACACAAAATTGTATTTAACTATGGCGTTTTGATAACTTCAAAACTTATAGGTGGAATATGCTATGTGAATATATGCTTATATCAAATGGCAG